CCCTCAAGGGCACGAGATGAGCTTCTGGACTCGACCAAAGCCCGACACCATTTTCCTCCAGCTCCTGGAGGAGCGCGGGGAGCAGCAGGAGCCCGAGGGAGGGCACTCACGTGGATTTGATGGTGATGCACCGCTCCTGCTCGTCCTTGCGGGTGTCGGTGAAGCGCGTCTCACCGGCCCGCGCCGAGGCGATGATGCCGGCCTTGCACACCAGGGAATCCGTCAGCGTGGACTTGCCGTGGTCCACGTGGGCGATCACGGACATGTTCCTGATGTTGGCCTTTTTGTCCATGATGGCCCGTATCTGGTCTACTGTGAAGTTCACCTTGAGGGAGGGGACAAGGGGGACTCAGCGCGTACAAAACTGGCTCGGGTGACTCCAAGGAAGCCGAAGCTCCCATAAATGCCTGCCATAGTCAGGGTGGCACCACCTCTGCGCGGGTGACAACACAACCCGCAGCCAGGGCACCGCAGCGGGGCTGCAGCACCGACCCCTCCCTGCCCCGCGTCCCTCAAGCCGCGATGTCAGCGGGCGCAAAACGCCCCCAAAGCCGAGCCCGGGCCGGTGCCGGTGCCGCTGCCAGCCCAGACCGCAGCGTTACATAAGGCACGAGCGGCACCGCAGCGCCCCGTCCCCGGCGCCGCCACCGCGCTGCCACATCAGCGCGGCCGCTCCCGAGCCCGGGGGCAACGGCAGCCCCGGCACCGGCGGCTCCTGCCAGCTCCGGGGCTGTCACGGCCGCCCGGACCGGCCCCCTCTCGCCGCCCCACCCTCTCCCCGCAGCCGCGGCCCAGCCCGGCGGCACAGGCCGCAGCCGCCGCCGTGCGACCCGCGGCGCTCGCGGAGCCGCCATCCCCGGCGATAGGGGAAGCGCGGTGGGCGCTCGTCCCGCCGGGAGCGGCGGCGGGCGGCGGGGGCTCACCATGGTGGCGGATGGCGGCGGATGCTGCGGGGCGGGGGGGTCACGGCAATGGCGGCGGCTCGGCCCTGTCTCGCTGGCGAGCGCAGAGCGGGCGGAAGAGAGCGCTGACGTCAGCCGGCGCCCTCTTATAGGGCGGCGTCGCCGAGGGGCGGGGCCTGCGCAGAGCGCGTGCGCGGCCGCGCCGCTCTATCCCGCGGACTCTATGGTCGGGAGGCTGTTCCGCCTGGCCGGCACCACGTGGGTGTCACCGCGGCCGCACCGGGACTGCAGCGAGGCCACACCGGGGGAACAGCGACCGGCAGCGACAGCCCCGCCCCGCCCGGGCTGCGGCGGGTTGAAAGCCCACCCCTCCCGCTGCCGGTGTAAGAACCGACCCGGTGCACCGGGGTCGGCGAGACCGAACTCGGAGCGGTATCACCGAGCGGCAGCTGAGCACGGGGGGTCTGCCGCTAGTAGCAGGCGGTAGGGCCGAGCCCGGTGTCAGGCAGCGGCCCCGGGTAGCGGCGGGCCCGCCCCGGTCCCGCAGGGTGGCCGCAGTGCGCATGCTCGGCACCGGCCGGGGCTGCAGCGCCCCCTGCTGGCGGGGAGGAGCGCGGGGGCAGCACCGGCCGGGCCCGGGGCCGCGGAACCGCCGGGGTCACGGAACCGCCGGGTTCGGTGCCATGGAACCCCCCCCGTGAGCCTTGGAGCTGGCAGAAGTCATGGAGTGAGCCGTTCGGGACGTGGAGGAACACGCAGTGCCACGGGAGGGACGCCGTCCATCGCCCCAGGCCGCTCCAGCCTGGCCTTGGGCACTGCCGGGGTCCGGGGCAGCCACGGCTGCGCTGGGAGCTCCATCCCAACATCCCGGGCAGGAATTCATCCCAAAATCCCGGGCAGGAACTCCATCCCAACATCCCGGGCAGGAATTCATCCCAAAATCCCGGGCAGGAACTCCATCCCAACATCCCAGACGGGAATTCCACCCCAAAATCCCGGGCAGGAACTCCACCCCAACATCCCGGGCAGGGATTCATCCCACCACCCCGGCCCGTGGCAGTGCAGCCTTTCCCTGTGTCCTGCCCCTCCACCCTTATCCAAAATCTCTCTCCCTGTCCCTCGCTGGGTCCCTGCAGCTCCTGAAGGCCACCGTGGGCTCACCCAGGCTGGACAGGCCCCGTTCCGTCCCTGGCAGCTCCCAAATTCCCAGCACGGCCCAGGCTGCCGTGCCAGGCCGGGACAGACCCGTGCCAGGCCGGGACAGACCCTGCAGTGACACCCAGGACGGGTTTGGCCCGGGACAGGCAGGGACAGACCCGTGCCAGGCCGGGCCAGGCCATGCAGTGACACCCAGGACAGGTTTGGCCCGGGCCAGGCCCTGCAGTGACACCCAGGACAGGTTTGGCCCGGGACAGGCAGGGACAGACCCGTGCCAGGCCGGGCCAGACCCTGCAGTGACACCCAGGACAGGTTTGGCCCAGGACAGACCCATGCCAGGCCGGGCCAGGCCCTGCAGTGACACCCAGGACAGGTTTGGCCCGGGCCAGGCCATGCAGTGACACCCAGGACAGGTTTGGCCCAGGACAGACCCGTGCCAGGCCGGGCCAGGCCCTGCAGTGACACCCAGGACGGGTTTTTTCCAGCTCTCCCACCTGGAGCTTGAGCACTTTTGCCAGCCCAGGAGGGAAAACTGGCAAAGCTCATTTCCATCCTGCCCTCCCGAGAAACTGTTAATTGCCTTTTTGCTTAATTAGCACGTGGGGTCGGTGGCAAGGAGAGGACAGTGCTGGAAAGCCTCACCCGTGCAGCGTGTCACCCCAACACTGGAGGTGCCCTGAAATCACCCAGGGTGGGGTGTCGGGCCCCAGCTCCAGCCCTCCCCTGGCTCTGCCCCTGCTCCCGGGGCAGAGGTCAGAGCTGCCTGTCGGGAGAAAGATGCAAACTACCATTTATTATTGTTATTATTATTATTGTTGTTGTTATTATTGTTATTATTATTATTGTTGTTGTTATTGTTATTATTGTTATTGTTATTATTGTTATTGTTATTATTGTTATTGTTAATATTGTTATTATCATTATTATAATCATTGCCATTATTACTATTATTGTTATATTTGTTATTATTATTACTATTATTGTTATATTTATTTTTTATTATTATTACCATTATTATTGTTGTTATCATTATTATTCTCATTATTATAATTATTGCTATTATTACTATTATTGTTATATTTATTATTATTACTATTATTATATTTATTATTTTTATTATTATTATCATTATTACCATTATTATTGTCATCATTATTATTATCATTATTATAATATTATAATTATTGCTATTATTACTATCATTGTTATATTTATTATTATTATTGTTATATTTATTATTATTTATTATTATTATTACCATTATTATTATTGTTGTTATCATTATTATTATCATTATTACAATTATTATAATTATGGCTACTACTACTATTATTGTTATATTTATTATTATTACTATTATTGTTATAATTATTATTATTACTATTATTGTTATATTTGTTATTATTATTAGGAAGGTATTTTTAATTAGCGGGGGGTGAAGTTGCAGAAGGGGCACAAGGAACACTCGGGGGTCTCTGGGGCGTCGCTGCCACGCTGCAGATTTTGGCCAGGAGAGCCCCCTGCCCACCCTCCCTTCCCCGGGCACCGGGACCCTTCCCCATCCCCATCCCCTCCCCTCCTCGGTTCGAGCGCACCGGGCCCTGCCCTGCCCCGGGGCACCCACCTGCCGCCATCTTGGGGGCATCCCCCGCCGCCTGCCCACCCCCTCCTCCTCCCGCAGCGCCCGCGGGGCCGCCCCATCCCCTCCCCCACCGCTCCCCTCCCCGCTCCCGCCGCCGTTTCCCCCCCGCCGCTCCCCCGGTTTAGCGGCGCGCGGCCCCTTTAAGACTCCCGCCGTGGGCGTGGCCTGTCGGGGCGTGTCCCTGAGGGCGTGGCCGGAGCAGCGAGCGGCGCGCGCGCCGATTGGGCGGCGCTCCCCGCGCGGCCCCGCCCTCCCTCCCTCCGGAGGGCGGCGCCGCCAGCCGCGGGGGCGGCGCTCCGGGGCCTCCCCCTCGCCTTTTTCCCTCAGAGACTGCCCCGCCCCGGCCTGAGGGCCGCAGCCCCCGCCGGAGCTCCCGGCGCCGGGCCGGCCCGCGGTGCTGCCCGCTCTGCTCGGGGCTGCGCTGCCCCGCTCACTGCCGGGTTAGGCGGCGCTGGTGCCGCCCCCAGCCCGGTACTGCTGCCCGGAGCGGCTCGGAGCGGAGCTGTCCGGCGGGCGGGGGTCGCGGCGCCGGCGGGACGGGCTCTGCCGGGGGCAGCGGCGGCCGCAGCGCCCCGCGGGGACGGCGTGAGGCGGATCCGTGCTCGGAGTTGTGTTTCCAAGGCGGTTTGTGCCTCGGGAAGCCGCGGGAGCGTTTCCCGTTCCCCTCGGGATCCCGGTCCCGCGGCAGCCGGTGCTGGGGGCGGTTGAGGAGCAGCGGCCGGGGAGCGCTCCCTGGAAGGGCTCCCCGGGAAGGGGTCCCTGGAAGGGCTCCCCTGGAAGGGCTCCCCGGGAAGGGGTCCCTGGAAGGGCTCCCCTGGAAGGGGTCCCTGGAAGGGCTCCCCGGGAAGGGGTCCCTGGAAGGGCTCCCCGGGAAGGGGTCCCTGGAAGGGCTCCCCTGGAAGGGCTCCCCTGGAAGGGCTCCCAAGGAAGGGCTCCCAAGGAAGGGCTCCCCGGGAAGGGCTCCCTGCAAGGGCTCCCCTGGAGGGGCTCCCCGGGAAGGGCTCCCCTGCAAGGGCTCCCAAGGAAGGGCTCCCAAGGAAGGGCTCCCAAGGAAGGGCTCCCTGGAAGGGCTCCCAAGGAAGGGCTCCCCTGGAGGGGCTCCCAAGGAAGGGCTCCCCGGGAAGGGCTCCCCTGGAAGGGCTCCCCTGGAAGGGCTCCCAAGGAAGGGCTCCCTGGAAGGGCTCCCTGGAAGGGCTCCCCGGGAAGGGCTCCCCGGGAAGGGCTCCCCGGGAAGTGCTCCCCACCCGCAGGAGCCGCCCCCGGCCGGGATGGGGCTGGATGGCCGCAGCCATCCCGAGGGAGAGGCTTTTTGGGGGGCTCCAGAGCGGGCAGCTCGCCCCCCAGGCACCGTGGTGGCCGCAGGGGGTTTTGGTGGGGTCTGAGCCGTCCCACACGAGGGTTCCCGAGAGGGGGAGAGCCGGGAGAGCCGGCGCTCCATGTGCTCTCCCTGCTCGAGCCCTCGCTCCGCGTTGTCCGGGGTTTGTTGCTGTGTTGTTGCTCGGATCTCAGCGTCCCTCAGTGTCTCATCATTCCTTCAAAATGGAAACTCGGGGCTCCAGCTCCGCTTCCCAGGCCAGGAGTCCTGGCTGAGAGGAATTCCCTCAGGAGGAATTCCTGTGCTCCGGGGATGCCCCTGCTGCTGTGTCTTGATGAATTTGTCTTCCCAAATACACCTTTTATCCTCAAACCCCTCGGGGACAGCAACGCTCTCCCCATTTCCCCATTAATGATCCTGGTGGGATTTCATCAGGCTTGGTGATCTTGGAGGGCTTTTCCAACCTTAATGATCCTGGTTCTGTTTTGGAGTTGTAGAAAACTGAGGCACAAAGTAGATTTCTCCAGGATTTCACAGGTGGTGTCTGGGGGAGCAGCACCATGAATCCAGGGCTCTGAAATTCTGACTTTCTGGCAGTTAAACATCTTTTCTCTCCTCTTTAGTCACCAGTCCTTTTTTTCCCCTCATCAGGGATATTTTGGGACTCATCACGACTCCCAGAAGTTCTAACTGCAGACAGTGACATAACAGCTCTTGGGTTTTCAGATTAAATGACATATGCAAGGGAAAAGGAGAAAATCAAATGGCATTTTCTCTCTCATGTAATTCCCACACACCCGAAAGTGGCTGTGAAATGTTTCTGGAAACAGTTGTAGATTTCTTAATTGAAAAAAAAATAAAAATCTGTAGCTGGTTTATTCCAGGAAATGATAAGATTGTTAGATTATCTTTCATGCTTTCTTTTTAATTATTAATTCAAGAGTGGGGTAGAGGTTGGGGAAGATCTGCTGGATCTTTGCTGCTGGATTTTTTTTGGGGGTTTCTTCTCAAATTTCCCTATTCCCCACAAACCAGGAAGGATGTGGAGTGAACATGTGTGGATATCTACCAAGTTTATTTCCAGGGCAACTTGAATTTTCCAACCCACGTACTTTATAAGCTGCTTTTTTTGCCATTTTAAGGCTGTTTGTGTTTGGGGAATTGAAATGCCAGAGTTCAACAGGAAGAATTCCTGGTTTTTGATGGGAAGTTGCCTTGTGGCCTTTGGCTCTGCTGACAGATACAGGCCTGAGCTGCCACAGGGAGGGGATTTTGGAATCCTGAGCTGGGTTTTGCTGCTCATCAGACACTGAAATTGATAATTGTGACTGCAAGGCAGCTCCTGGCTGGGGTCACAGGGAAGTTGGCATTGTTCTCCTGGGAGCACACTGCTCTCTCCAGTAATCCCAGGATTCTTCCATGCTCTAAAAATGTGATTTTTAAAAGATCCAGTGGATGTGGGGAGGATTCTGGAGAGGTTTTCCCATCCAGAAATCCAGGATTGGTGGCCCCAGTTCACCTCAGCCTCACCTAACTCGATTTTCTTCCTGTGCCTTGCACTGGCACCATTTGGGATGAAGTTTTCCATGTTCCTCTGGGAATTCCGGGTGCCTCAGGCTCTGAAGGAGTTCATCAGCTCTTCCACAAGTGAGGCCTCTTGCTTTACATCTTTGAGGTCACTTGAGCTGTCCTGAGGATGCTCAGCATGTGTCCGAGTGCTTTTTGAGTCGTTTGCTGGCTGTGCTGGTGGCTGTGCCCTTCAGGTGATGTTTCAGTGGGTGATCTCTGCGTTCGTGTTGCTCACACAAGAAATGGGACCCAAACCCAGGCGCCAGCAGCGGGTTTGGACAGGTTCGGGGTCTTTCTTTGAGGGGAAATTTTGAATATCTTACCTTGTAGCTATAAAGTAACAACTAAACCTTTGCCTTCTATAACTATGAGAACATCTTTTAATTTTTTATCCCCCAGAACATGGTGATGAGTTTCCGAGTCTCAGATCTTCAGATGTTGCTGGGTTTTGTTGGCAGGAGTAAAAGCGGACTAAAACACGAACTAGTGACCCGAGCTTTGCAGCTGGTCCAGTTTGACTGCAGCCCCGAGGTGTTCAAGAAGATCAAGGAGCTCTACGAGACTCGCTACAACAAGAAGGGCTCGGAGGTGCCGGCGGCGCCGGCGCGCGCCGAGGGCCTGGCCCTGCACTCGCCGTCCCTGGAGCGCGGCAGCGCCGTGCCCCGCGCCCTGCCCGCCGCCAGCCTCGACTACCCTGCCCTCTATGGCAAATACCTGAACGGACTGGGCAGGCTGCCCCCCAAGGTGGCCAAGCCCGAGGTGCGCTTGGTCAAGCTGCCCTTTTACACCACGCTGGACGAGCTGTTGAAGCCCACGGAGTTAGGTGAGGTCGGGGCCTGCGGGGTGTTTGTGTTGCTGAAGGAGCGGTGGTTTGGAGGGGTTGCTGAAGTTGTGTGGCAGGAGAGGCTGCTGGTTGGGGTGCTGAGGTCTCTCTCTTCCCCCACCTCTCTTTTTTCTCCCCTTCTCTCTTTTCCCCCTCTCTTTTCCACCCTTTCCTCTCTCTTTTCTCTCTCTCTCTTTTCCCCCTTTCTCCCTCTCTCTTTTCCCCCCTTTCCTCTCTCCTTTCCCCCTTCTGTCTCTCTCTCTTTTCCTCCCCTTCTATCTCTCTCTTTCCCTCCCCTTCTCTCTCTTTTCTCTCTCTCTCTTTTCCCCCTTTCTCTCTCTCTTTTCCCCCCTTTCTCTCTCTCTTTTCCCCCCTTTCTCTCTCTCTTTTCCCCCCTTTCTCTCTCTCTTTTCCCCCCTTTCTCTCTCTCTTTTCCCCCCTTTCTCTCTCTCTTTTCCCCCCTTTCTCTCTCTCTTTTCCCCCCTTTCTCTCTCTCTTTTCCCCCCTTTCTCTCTCTCTTTTCCCCCCTTTCTCTCTCTCTTTTCCCCCCTTTCTCTCTCTCTTTTCCCCCCTTTCTCTCTCTCTTTTCCCCCCTTTCTCTCTCTCTTTTCCCCCCTTTCTCTCTCTCTTTTCCCCCCTTTCTCTCTCTCTTTTCCCCCCTTTCTCTCTCTCTTTTCCCCCCTTTCTCTCTCTCTTTTCCCCCCTTTCTCTCTCTCTTTTCCCCCCTTTCCTCTCTCTTTTCCCCCTTTCTCTCTCTCTCTCTTTTTCTCCCCCTTCTCTCTCTCTTTCCCACCCTCTCTCTCCCCTCTCTCTTCCCCCATGCTCAGAATTTACAGAGGAATATTTATCTCTGGGCTTGCCATTGCTAAAAAGTGGCTGACAAAAGATGGAGAGCAGCTTTTTACAGAGAGGGAGAGTGCTGGGGAGGGGGGAGTGGTCTCAGACTAAAAGAGGAGAGCTTTAGATGGGATCTTGGGGAGCAGTTCTTCCCTCTGAGGGTGAGGAGGCCCTGGCACAGGGAAGGAGGAGCTGTGGCTGCCCTGGAGGTGTCCAAGGCCAGGTTGGAGCACCCTGGGACAGTGGAAGGTGTCCCTGCCTGTGGGGTGGACTGGGATGATCCTTCAGGTCCTTCCCAGTCCAAATCCCGGATTTTCCTCAGACCTGGAGTGTTCTCACTTTGGGATGTGACTTGGAATCCCACCTGGTTTGGTTCCTGTGGGTTGTGCAGCCACATTCTACACTAAGGCTGGTTTTCAGCACTGGAAATCCCTGACCTGAAGCATCTCTGGATAAAAGAGGGTGGCAACACCTCAAACTGCATTTTTGACTTTTTTTTTTGTGCTTGTGACAGTTATTTTGTGTGGTGCTGTGTGTTTTGAGGGGTAACCAGTAAAACTGGAAGAAGAGCTTTTTCCCTGGGGTGTGGAGACTGATTTTTCATTATTTTCGTTTGGAGAAACAAAGAATGCTGTTAACTGATGTTAAATAGAATATTCTGGTAGCAAATTCAGCATGTCCAGAGAGTTGAGTTCTGCTGAGTGTCTCATAAATTCATGTGGTAACGTCAGAATTCTCTACCAAATGATTCTACAACTTGAGCTGGTCTGGCTCTGCTGAAAATACATTTGTTGTGGCTTGGGGGAAAAAATAAAGATTTGATTGTGCAGAAACAAAAAGATAAAGGTCTAATTAGTCAGATTTTATGTAATTTCTTCTTCATTTGAAGGCATTAATGCTGTGACAAAACAGCTGAGTGGTGCCAGAGTAAGCTCAAAGATGATAATTGTGTGGGGAATGGTTTGTTAGTGTTAAATGTGTGTTAGTCAGCAATTCCAAGATGGGATTCTGAAGGAAAACAAATTTCCAAGAGGTGGAAGCATCCAGAGACAGGCGAGGCTGGGATTGCCAGGTTCTGTTCCAGGTTGCCATTAAATGTCCCCTGCACCAGCCCAGGGCTCATTAAATGCATTCTGTGCCCTGGCAGGTGCCACCTCCCCTGGGCCAGAGCTCCCTGCAGGGCTCTGGCTGATTTCCCTGCTGGGGCAGAGGTTCTGTGGAGCCAGCAGCAGCTGGGCACCTCAGGATGCTCAGGTCTCACACCTGAGCAGGCTGCACCTCCCACATTTTGGGCTTCTTTTCCACCAGCAATTTAATTTTTGTATAAAGGAAGAGTGAGCTGGTGGAAATGCAAAATAAACCATGAGCAGCTTCTCATTTTTCCTAATCAGGTCTGCTTTGTCTTTGTGTGGCTGAACAAGCAGCAGGGCTCAGTTTATTGGCAGTTTCTTAATCTGAAGCATTAAAATTACCTTTTTGTTATTGTCCTTGTCAATCATCACTTGCTAAAAATACCTCATAAAATGCTTTACTTTCTGCTGGTTGTTTTTGTCAGGAGGTATTTGGGCGGAAACTGGAATTAAACACAAAGTCCCACAAAGATATCTTAATTCTTACTTCTGAAATTTATTTTTGCAAGTTCCATTTGCATTTTTAAAGCAGAAAAGGGACCAGAGGGGAAGCACCTGCAGGGACTCAAGTTGTCACCAGGTCTTCCAAGAGCTGCTGAGGTTTTACCCTTCCTTCATCTCCTCTTTTTCATACAAAAGTGCATTTTCTTCCTTCTGAAATCCTGTTGGCTTTGAATAACCAAGCAATGGAAGTGAGGCAAAGCAAAAACCCAATTCTTGCTGTTTTAAATAATTTTTAAAAAGCTGGTTTAGCACTTCCTCTTTGTGTTCCTCCCGTGACTTTCAGCAGCTCAGGGTCTGAACTTTGCTTAGAGCCACAAAACTGAAAATAAAACATGTTTGGATTGAAGTACAGGTTGCAACAAAAGTTCCCCACGTCTCAAGCTTCATCTTCCTCACATTAAATGCACATCAATTAAACTTGATCTTAAAATTATCAGTGTGCAAAAGGCCCCAGTTAATGCTGGGCTCTCTCAAGCCTCTCTGAGGGTGAGCTGCTGTCCCACCCTCAAGGTCAGGGGGTTTGAAATCGTGTTTTGTCTCTTCCAGCTGCTTTTTGTGTTGCTTTTTTATTATCTGAGCTAATCTTTTTTGTTGCTGGGGTTGTTTTCTTTCTTTTCCAGAACTTGCCTGCTCAGTCTGGTTGGTTTTGGGCTTTTGTGTCAGGCTCAGGTCTCCTCTTGGGCTTCTTGAGGATGTGGTCACACTGTGACACCACTGATGTGGTGAGCTGATGGCTCTTGAATTATTTGAGGGGAGGAAAAATAATTTTAAAAAGAGAAAAATCAACTCCAAAGCCTGTGCTGGTCGTATTGAGCAGTGAGCAATAAATGAGCAAAACTCTAATCAAAGCAGAATTACCAAAACAGGTGAAAACTGCAATTGTGGGGTGTGGGAGAAAACAAGACTTGGAGATAAACAGAGCATAACAATCACCTCGTGCTCAGAGCTGCTGTGCTCAGTTTGATGGACACTTTTCTTCCCTCCTCAGTTCCACAGAATAATGAGAAGCTCCAGGAAAGTCCATGCATTTTTGCATTAACACCAAGACAAGTGGAGCTGATCAGAAATTCCAGGTACAGTTTAAGAAAATGCAGCTGCATAATTCCATCATTCCACGTTCCCTGCCTGTGGGAGCTTTTGTTCTCTGCAAGGGAGCAGGATTTGTGTGAGGACATCAGCAGAGAGCTTGGGGGGAGTGGGAGCTGCAAATTCCCCCCTGCAGGTCCTTAAGTTTCACTTGTGCTGCTCTAATCTCCCTCTGGAATGGTGCATTGGGGCAGGGAAATGGGGATGGAATCGTGGATGACCTAAATTCTCTGCTGAGCTGCTGGGGTGAGTGTCTGCAGGTTCAAAAGGCAGAGTGTGAGGCTGTTTGCATCTGAAAGGAACTTCCTTGGTGGGGAGGAGGCTGCAGGAGCTGCCTGGGGAAACATCTGGGATTAGGATTTACCCTGACCTCTGTCAGCTGCAACTTTTGAGTCAAACAAAGACTCTCCTCAGAGGTGGCAGTGCAGGCAGGGAGGTTTCCTCTTGGCTGACCTGCTCCCGTCATGCAGAAGAATTCCTCCAAAAATTCAACATAAAACCTTTGAATGTTTCTCTTTGTCATAAATTAAAGAGCTGGAGAAAGAATAGCTTGGTTGTTTTGCCTCCTGATAAAATATCCTTGTTGTGTCTTCCGTTTCTTTCCTGATTCCAGTTAAAATTTCCAGTTAAAATCCTGTCAGGAATAGCCCTGATGGAAATTGCAATATTCACAGTGGGGCCTTAATATTCAGTCCCTTGGTTTGCATGAACAGCTTCAGCTGAATAATTAAACACAGAGAGTCTTGAACACTGTCAGGTAAACCTGACCTTAAAACCCAGTTTTTAGAAATTCTCACAAATCACCAGAAGGCACCTGAACAGTTTTAAAAACCCAGAGAAAAGCTGTGGATTAGTGCATCAGGAAAAAAAAAAATAATTACAGGATCATTGATATTTGCAGGGGGAATTGTACAATTTAAATAAAGTTCTGGGAGGTAATTTTCTGAAGTTCTATTTTAAAAAATTAGGAACAAGGAAAGTTTTGAGTCTGGCAGCTGGTTTGGTTGATTTTTTTGGGGATAGAGATTTCTTTTACATAATTAATTTGAAGTTTTCTGTTCTTTCTTTTATCAGGGAGTTGCAGCCCGGTGTGAAATCGGTTCAGGTGGTGCTCAGGTAGGTCTGGGCTGGGCTCATTGAACATCAGGGGCAGAGCAGGAGAGGAGGGAATGTTCCAGCATGGATTTCATGGCTCCAGAGAGAATTTCCAGTGAACTTTTTGTTCTTGGGCCTCACAGCAGCATCTTAAACTCCACTTTTGAACCTCGAGCAGAAACAGCAGAGTCCCACCTGGATGGGCCCTGCTGAGGGAGCCTGGATTGGGATGGGGATGGGGCCTGTGGGAGCTGGGGATGTGCAGAGTGTGGGGATATTATGGGATGTGTTGTTTCTGCCCAGAATCTGCTACACAGACACCAGCTCCCCTCAGGAGGATCAGTACCCTCCCAACATCGCCGTCAAGGTGAACCACAGCTACTGCTCCGTGCCGGTGAGGACTGGGGCTGGGAGGGGAACTGGGGGAGAATTTATGGACTGTGCAAGGAAATGGCTTTCCTGATGAATGCCACATTATAAAAGTGCACTGCTTAGTTTAAAGCTAATTTTTAATGGATTAGCCATGTTGTTAAAGAGCTGTTCTGTGTGAAGGCTCAATCCTGTTTGCTTTGTGCTGTATTCAGCTCCTTCTCCCCATCCCTGAGACTGGGGCTGAGTGGAATTGAATGGAGCTGATCAACAGATGTACCTCGAGTAAAAAACAAATCTCTGTATTTAATCTTGCTGCTCTAGGGCTACTACCCCTCAAACAAACCCGGGGTGGAACCCAAGAGGCCCTGCAGGCCCATCAACCTCACCCACCTCATGTACCTGTCCGCGGCCACCAACCGCATCACGGTCACCTGGGGCAACTACGGCAAGGTGAGAGCCCAGGCACCCCCAGAGCTGCCCGGGCAGCCCTGCAGAGCAGCCTCCTCATCCTCTGCTGCCTCTCTCCCCAGAGCTACTCGGTGGGGCTGTACCTGGTGCGGCAGATGACCTCAGCAGAGCTGCTGCAGAGGTTGAAAACCATCGGCATCAAACACCCGGAGCTCTGCAAAGCGCTGGGTGAGTGGCTCAGGGAGGGTCTGCGTGCAGCCTGCTGGGGAAGAACCACCACCTTTCCCACCTCTGCTCCCCCCCAGCTGTGTAAACCCCACTTTTTATCTGAACAGACTTGCTGAGCTGTGTGTGAGCCGTGGGAGGTCACCCCAAAGCCGTGGTTCTGGTGGCTCAGCTCTGTAGTTGGCTGTAGGATTTGTGCCGGGTCGTGGCGTGCCGGTGTCGTTGTGACTGCAGGGGCTTCATGCCTTCAGCTGAGTCAGTGTGAGCAGCACTGACCCTCGGGATTTCCAAAGGAGATTTCTGGAGCGAGGGATCCTGGTGACAATGTCCTGGGACTCCTTGGGGTGGCAGTGAGATGTCACCAGCAGCACTTTGATATGCCTTGAGAGCTTCAGAGAAGAGATGGTCCCCAGAGATGTTATCCCAAACCACTCAGGTAAATCCTCCTGGTATGAGGCTCGTGTAAAACATTACTGGAAATGAGGGGAAATTACTTTTCCAAGGTGGACTCTGACTTGGAGCTCACAAGTGTGGAAGATGCCCAGTTTTTCATGTTGCTGGACAAAACCTTCTCACTGTTTCATTCTGCGTGGGAGAACTGACCCTGTGATCCTGATGATCTTTAGCACTGTCCAGATCCTGGAAAACAGCTCCCAAGGATAAGAAACTGTCAGGGAATCCCAGGATGGTTTGGGTTGGAAGGACCTTAAAGCCCATCCAGTGCCACCCCTGCCATGGCAGGGACACCTCCCACTGTCCCAGGCTGCTCCCAGCCCTGTCCATCCTGGTTTTGGGCACTTCCAGGGATCCTGGGGCAGCCCCAGCTGCTCTGGGCACCCTGTGCCAGGCCTGCCCACAGGGAGGAATTCTGCACGTCTTAACCCCAATTTCCCCTCCTCAAGCCATTCCCCCTTGTCCTGTCACTACAGTTCCTAATGAAGAGCCCCTTTCCAGCATCCCTGGAGCCCCTTAGGGACTGGAATGCTGCTGGGAGGTCTCCACTCACCCTTCTCTTCTCCAGGCTGAGCTTCCTCAGCCTGCCAGTCTTGCAGGTGGATGGTAGTCCACAGGGAAGGTGATTCCAGGTGTATCCAGCCTGCAGACACCTGGATTTTGGGCAGGGATCAGTTGTATTTGGTGACTTGAAATAAAACCTAATAAGAGCAATGTCTAATTTCAGCTCTTTCTTGTTTTTGTGCTTGGAAGTTGTTTGGATATCCAGACCTGGCCGACCTGAGGAGATCCTCAACTTTGCTTTTCTAGCTCTGGTCTGCTCTGCAAATAATTCCCTCTCACTGAAGCTGCCCTTTGGCTTCAGTCACATCTCACTGCTGACTCATCTTGCTTTGCATAAAATTCTGTGGAACTTAATACAGGAACATTGTCTGAGAACAGATCATGGCTTTGGATCCAAAATCCTGATCTGGAGATCCTGGAAAATTCTCCTTCCCAGGTCTCCCAGTAATTGCTGCACAGAGAAAGATCTTACAAAGAACTTCATAAAAAATTAAGCTTGGATGAAAAGGCTCCTAATGTGAGGAAAACAAGCCCAAATCTTGTAATCTCCTGGGAATTTCACATCTGAGAAGTCACTCTCTAATTAAAGCTGGGTGTTGCAGAGCTGCATGTAGCCTCATTGTCTGGAGACATCTTGTTATGATCTGAAAAGGTCAAAAGAAATGGTTGACTTGCTCCAAAGAAAAACGGTGATGGAAGAGGCAGTTGCAGACAGCAGTGGGAGCAGCAGCTCCTCCTCAGGACTTGGGGAGCAGTTCAAAGCTCCTTTTGTTGATTTTTGCACCTTGGTGTGGGACCTGCACACGTGGGACCTGCCCATCTGCTGCTTGCTTTGATTTCCCTGCTGCTCCTCTGGGTTTTCCTTTCAGGCTGCAGCAGCAGGGGCAGGATTCCTCCTTTCCTGACATCTGATTCTTCCAGCTCTGTGCTGGGTGGCTGCTGTGCCTGGTTTTGCATGGCTGCCTTGCTCTGAGCTGTCTGCCTGGTACCTCTGGGCCTGTTCGTGCTTCCTGTGGAATGTTCTGGAATGAAGGAGGTGCCAGCAGAGAGGCCAGGGAGTGACGGCAGTGCTGAGGGGAGGCTTGACAACCTGATGGCAGAAGGATGGGATGTGTTTTCCCTGTCTGTTTGCTCACTTGTGGGGGGACTTGCTGTGAGCTGGAAGTGCTGGGGGGAGACATTTCCCCCCATCCTGCTGCCACAGAGCTCAGGAGGGAATTAACCCCACCGTGCCCAGGCTGGAGCTGAATCCAGGTGTTCATTCCCTCCCTGACAGGGAAAGTGATGCACACACACCCCAGGGCTGGGCTGAGCTGCTTCCCCTGTGCTGCCCAGCGCTGCCAGGGGCTGAGTTTTGTTAAATGTTGTGTCCTCTGCTCTCCCTGCAGTGAAAGAGAAGCTACGCCTGGACCCTGACAGTGAAATCGCCACCACCGGGGTGCGAGTGTCCCTCATCTGTCCGGTGAGACCCTGCAGGCTTCTCGTGGAACTGCACTTCGGCTTGGAAGGGAGCTTAAAGCCACCCAGTGCCACCCCTGCCATGGCAGGGCCACCTCCCACTGTCCCAGGCTGCTCCAGCCTGGCTTTGGGACTGCCAGGGATCCAGGGGCAGCCTCAGCTGCTCTGGGAATTCCATCCCAGGGCCTCCCCACCCTCACAGCCAGGAATTCCTTCCCAATATTCCCTCTGGCAGTGGGAAGCCATTCCCTATGTCGTGTCCCTCCATCTTTTGTCCCCAGTCCCTTTCCAGCTCCCTTGGAGCCCCTTCAGGCACTGGAACCTCAGCTCTCCCAGCCTAATCCAGAACCAAGGAGCTCTGTTGTGTGTTTTAGTCTGGTTTTAGTCTGTTTTAATCTGTTTTTTGCCAAGAACCCAAGCCATACTCTCAGACCAGCTTTGCAAACTCGCAGATGTTTTTCCTTCTGAGGGGATCTGGGGCTCCCTCAGGTGTCCAGGCTGATGCTCTGCTCTCTGCTCCCACAGCTGGTGAAGATGCGCCTGTCGGTGCCGTGCCGGGCCGAGACCTGTGCACACCTGCAGTGCTTTGATGCCGTCTTCTACCTACAGATGAATGAGAAAAAGCCCACATGGATGTGCCCCGTGTGTGACAAACCTGCCCCCTACGACCAGCTCATCATTGATGGGTGAGTTTTGCACCTCTCTGCCCTTTCCCCTTCCCCACTGGGTGCAGCACCCAGCTCTTGGTTGGAGTTCACTCTGAAACTGTTGGAAGTTCGTTCTGCTGGTGCAGAATATTCTGGTTTCAGTGTTTTGGTGTGTTAGAGCAAGCTGGGAGGGAGCAGGCTTGTGATGCAGCATTTTTGGGGTGAGTTTGGAAGCAGCTTTGTGCCCCCAAATTCTGGGAGCCTTCTGTACACTGGGACCACTGAGATCCTCGCGGTGCTGGCCAAGGACTGGTGGAACAGCACACGTGGTTCCTGCCTGCTGGGAAGTGATCCCCACCCTCCTGGCTGTGTGATTGGCCTCCACTGCAGGTTCCCTCAAGAGCAGGGAGCGTTTGGGGTGCTGTTTGGGGTGGCTCCAGCTCCCCTGGCACAGGGAAGTGAGCAGACCAGTCTGTTCCCAGCCTCACCGAGGGTTCCTCTGTGGGCCCTGGGCAGATCCAGGAGCTGTGGCTTTCCAGGCAGCCTGGAGCAGCCCCAGCACAGATAACCTGTTTGCTTTGTCCCCTGGCCAACCCTGACAGGAAAATCCAGTTCCTTGGAGATCTCTGACAGGGGGAGATGAAGGGGAAGCTGTGAGGGGTGGGATTGTGGAGCCCACACAGGTCAGCCATGCCCGTGTCCTGCACGAGGAGCAGCAGGATGTCCCTGGAGAAGGCTCAGCAGACTTTTGTCCCTGCTCAGGGCTGGGTTTGATGCCAGTTCTGCTGGGTGAAGTCCTTCCCAGATTCCCTGGAAGTGAGAGAGGGAAGCTGGCACTCAGCTGGGTGCTGGGAGTCAGGAAAGAGCCGGAGGCTCCCGAGCAGGGAGGGAGGTGGTTGGTCAGGTCTGGGATCCTCAGGGCCTTGTCAGCTTTTTGGGAGCTGCAGCTTGGTGCTTGCTGTGCTGGTGATGGGATTGGCTGTGGGAACAGTTCCTACAGGAGCTGGGGAAAGCTGGAACTCTCCCACTGGGGTGCCACAAAGTTTTCCTGACCTTGGAAGTCTTTCCACTAGGAGTTCTCCTTCCTCCTGAAGAAAAGTGCTCAAGTGCAGGAAGGAGTGAGGCCTGGCAGAGCAGCATTTCCAAATAAACATCCCAGGCTAACAGTAGGACACAGGGAATAAAGCAAGTCCCCAGTTCCTCTGGAATCAGGGCCTCATTCCAGGTGTATTTTCATGGTGTTCCTGGTGCAGGAATGTTGTTCTGGTGGCTGTTGTGGAGATTTGGGAAATAAAACTGGGAAGGAAGGGAAGTGCTGCTTGTTGGATTGCTGAGTTCCTAATGCCAAAGGAGATCTCACCTTTTGCTAAAGCCTTGTGGGAATGTCCCTGGGAATGTCCCATGGCATGGGGCAGCAGCCGCCTGCCTGGAAGCAGTGCCTGGGAAACTGGGTGAGGAGGCAAAACTGTCTTTAATTGCAGCTAATTAAGCTGGTAGTTGATGATTGGGGTGCGTGGACAGGAAGGGCTGGGATGGAGTTGCACTGTCAGAACCTGCGCTGGTTTTATGGGGAATAAAGTCCGTGACTCCAAGGGCTCTCAGCTCAGGTTCCTCCTGGCTGCACGGTCACTGCACACACCCTGCTGACTGCCAGGCTGTGACAGCTCCTCCTGTCCCCTCTGCAGGCTCCTGTCCAAGATCCTGACAGAGTGTGAAGATGCAGATGAGATCGAGTACCTGGTGGATGGCTCCTGGTGCCCCATCCGAGCCGAGAAGGAGCGGAGCTGCAGCCCTCAGTGTCCAATCCTGGTTCTAGGTGAGCCTCCCTGGGGGAAATCACACAATTCCAGAATGGCTTGGCTTGGAAAGGACCTGCAGGGTCATCCAGTGCCACCCCTGCCGTGGCAGGGCCACCTCCCACTGTCCCAGGTTGCTCCAAGCCCTGTCCAGCCTGGCCTTGGGCACTGCCAGGGATGCAGGGCAGCCACAGCTGCTCTGGGCACCCTGTGCCAGGGCCTGCCACCCTCACAAGGAAGAATTTCTCCCCAGTATTCCCTCTGGCAGTGGGAGCCATTCCCTGTGTCCCGTCCCTCCATCCCTTGTCCCAGATCCCTCCCCAGCTCTCCTGGAGCCCCTTTAGGCTCTGGCAGTGGCTCTGAGCTGTCCCTGGAGCCCTGCCTTGCCCAGGCAGGAGTGTTGCTCAGTCCCTGAGCTGGCAGGATGGCCTGACGTGCTCCTCCTGCCCTGCCAGGCTCCTCGGACGTGAACGGGCTCCTGGCCCCTGCCAACGGCACCGGCGAGAACGGCAAAGCCCCGGCGGACGTTGTGGATTTAACACTGGACAGCTCATCCTCCGAGGAGGACGAGGAGGAGGATGAGGAGGAGGATGATGATGATGAGGGACCCCAGCCCAAACGACGCTGCTCTTACGAGAAAGGTTTAGTCTCTGCCTGCTGACTGCAGCTCGCAATTCCCGACGGACAGACTTGAATACTCTGGTGCTTATTAAACTGGAGGAGGGGGAGAACGTCCTCTCCCACCTCATCTCCCTCCCTCCCTCATCTCCCGTGACTTTCCTATTCCAAATTACTCATTAAAACGAGAGAAAAAAAAGAAAAGAAAAAAAAAACCACAAAACGACATAAACAAAACAAAAAAAAAACAAAAAACCATTGAGCTGCTTCTTGGTTGGAAAACGACCCCACTCAGAGCCTGACCCTGAACTGGAGCCTGAAGTAAAGAAAGTGTCTTAAGCCAGGCAGGATCCTCCCTCACCTGGATCCGGGATCGGGGGAGCTCCCTGCACACCTCCAGGACACCCACCCCTGCATCTCCAAAGCCGTGTGCAGTTCGATCCTCTTGTTAATTAACCATTCCTTAATTAATCTAAAGGTTTTGCTGGACGTGTGAGTCCGGGGCGGGGCGGGGAGGGCTCTGGGGGGGGTTGTGTGACCCAGAGAGGATAGAGGGGGGTTTCTAGGGGTGGGACTGGGGGCATGGGGTGCCGGGGGTGAGATGTCCTCTTGGAAGTGGCACTGTTCTAGCTCAGAGCTCCAGCAGCTCTGCACCTCATGTAAAGAGACACGGTTGGAATTTTAACCTAATCCCAAGGGAAGTGTAGAGATTTGTGCAGTAGTGACTCGTTTTAGTTGAGCAGAAGCCATGGGGGGGTTGGGGGGTGGGAGGGGAGGGCTCGAACCACAGATCTGTTGTATTTTTGAAGTGCAATAACTTTGGTGTTTTTGAAGACTGACAAGGGCTGCGCATTCCCTTTTCGTTGAGGTTGGTTCTGGAGGCGGCCGTGACCTGCAGGCACCCCAGGGATGGGGACAGGGACCTGCAGGTCACCTCAGGCATGGGGACAGGGACCTGCAGGACATCTCAGGCCTGGAGATGGGGACAGTGACCTGCAGGTCACCCCCACTGACCTGGGGATGGGGACAGGGACCTGCAGGCCACCTCAGGCATGGGGACAGGGACCTGCAGGACATCTCAGGCCTGGGGACAGGGACCTGCAGGCCACCTCAGGCATGGGGACAGGGACCTGCAGGACATCTCAGGCCTGGAGATGGGGACAGTGACCTGCAGGTCACCCCCACTGACCTGGGGATGGGGACAGTGATGTGCAGGTCACCCCAGGCCTGGGGACAATGACCTGCAGGCCACCCCCACACCCAGGCCTGGGGACAGGGACCTGCAGGTCACCCCCACTGACCTGGGGATGGGGACAATGACCTGCAGGCCACCCCCACACCTGGGCACACCTGGCACCACGAGCAGGAGCAGGGCAGGGGTGTCCTTCCAGAAAATGCCGGGTGGGGGAATCTCAGTTTTTAGCCAACTACCTCGGTAACTCCAATTCAGGTTTCTTTGAGCCCCGAGCCCGTCCGGGCGGGCGCGAGGGCGGGGCCCGGCCGCCCCGGCCCCTCCACTCCTCTGTCCCAGCCTTTGGCCCCAGAGCCAAAGCTCCTCCTGTGCTCTTTGGTGGCAAAACGTTGTTGCTTTTGAGTTTGCCAAGCGTCACCTTTTTGACTTTGTCTTGGAGAGTTTCTGTCCCGGCCTCTGCGTCAGCTCTGCTGTTCCCACGGGCTCTGCTTTGCTCTGCACCTCGCTGGCTTTTCCCCCTGGAGCTCAGGATGAGCCGGGAGGGAGCTGGCCCTGCCCCTGGGCTGGGTGAGGGGCAGGGGCCACGTCCCTGTGCCCGGAGCTGGCCTGAGACCCCCGAGGGTCTTGGTGTTGCTGGGCACTGCCAGACCCCAAACCCTCCATCCTCCCTTATCCCTCCCCTCAGGGTACCCCAAACTTTTTATCCTCCCTTTATCCCTTCCCTCAGGGTACCCCAAACCCTTTATTCGTCCCTTATCCCTTCCTTCAGGGTACCGCAAACCTTTTATTCTTCCTTTATCCCTCCCCTCAGGGTACCCCAAACTTTTTATCCTCCCTTTATCCCTTCCCTCGGGGTACCCCAAACCCTTTATTCCTCCCTTATCCCTTCCTTCAGGGTACCCCAAACCCTCCATCCTTCTTTTATCCCTACTCTGGGCACCCCAAACCCTTATCCCTTCCTTCAGGGCATCCCAAACCCTCCATCCTTTATCCCTGCCTTCAGGGCACCCCAAACCCTCCATCCCTCACCCCAGCAGCCAGGGGGGCACAGAGAGGGGGGGTCTTGGTGCCTTTCCCAGCACTTCCCCCTCGCTCCAGAAAATTCCACACGTGGCCAACCCCACCTGGAGGGAAAAGCCCCCAAGGTCCAGCCAGAGCTGCCCTAAATCCTCGTTGGCCACTCGCCCAAAAGCAAAGACCCCTCTCCACAGTGAGGAGGGGTCCCCTGCCAGCCTGGGGGCTCCTCTCCCAAACCCCCAGCGGGGTGGGGGTCCCCGAGCCCCCGGGGAGGGGGATTCTGCCCTCCTGCCTGGCTGGGTTCTGCCTGCAGGAGTGTGAGGGGTGGGGATGAGCCCCCCTCTCCCCGGGTCTGGGGGCTCTCCTGGTCCCTCTGCAGGGACACCTGCACTCCCAGCCTTGGCTCCCCTCTCTCTCCTGGCTGTAAGCAATATGTTTTCAGGTTGAAACGGGGGTGGGGGTGGGAAAAGGGGGATGAAAACAACTGACAAAAACCCGGGTAGAGCTCCCAAATTGATTTTACTGTACAAAGTTCTGTGCTCGCGGCCCTGGCTGCACAGTAGCTTTAGAGTCCAGTTGTTTTCCTAATATTTTTATTCTAATTTAATTGCTTTTAAATTTTCCAGGCCAAGCAACTGTTTGGAAACACCATGCTTGTTTTAGTGCTTTCTGTTGGAGTTGGCCAGCTCTTCCTGTACATATGTTGGTTTTATTTTTTTTTTTCTTATATCCTGGTTTTTTTTTCTTCTTTGTTTTGTAAAGAGAAAAAAAAAAAAAAAAAAAACAAAAAAAAAAGAAAATTATTTTTCTTTCCCTCAGTACACATTCTTCAAATTATAGTGTTTGTTAAATAAAATGAAAGATTTACATTTAATTCTGTGTTGGCTTGTTGGGATTTCTCACCCTGGGGTCTCCCTGGGGTCTGCAGGATTCCCCAGGATCTTCTTCCAGGGGGTCCCAAGGATCTTCCCAGGGAAAATCTTCTCACAGGGCCTCCCCAGCCTTCCTGGGGTCACCCCAGGATCCCCCCAGGCTCCTGAGTGTCCCCAGCATCGCTCCCAGCTCACCCCAAAATGACACCTGGGGCTTTTCATGCATGGCAGGAGGGTCCTGGGCCAATCCCAGGATTTCCCAGGGAAAATCTCTCACCCCAAACAGAGCCTGGAGGGTTCTGGGGCAACCCTCCACCCCCTCCAGGTTCCCCCCCGGGTTTTGGGGGGCAGCCGGACCCCCGGGCACCCCCCGGCCCCTTCTCCACGGGCACCTCCTCGGTGCCACTTCGAATTCCTCCACCTCCAGCGGATTAATCATTTTATTTATGAGGCTTAAGGGCCCAAATCCCGTTAAAGCCGGGGCTTTGCCAGATAAACAGCCCGCTTTGGGGGCAGCGCGTTTGTGAAAACACAATTAGCAAACCCTGTAATCTGCACTAATTACCGGGCCATGAGCGCCGGCACTCGCCGGCAGCACCCGCACCATGGGGGACACGGGGGACACCGGCGGGGACAGCGGGGACAGCGGGGACACAGCCCCCGCAGCCCGGCGCCCGCCCGGAGCCTCCTTCACCATCGAGTACCTGCTGTCGGGCGGGGGGCACCGGGCCGGGCCCAGCCCCGAGCCCCCCGCCCGCAGCCCCCCGGGAGCCCCCCGGGCCGAGCCCGGGGACAAACCCGCCCAGTCCTACATCGCCCTCATCTCCACCGCCATCCTCTCGTCCCCCGAGAAGAAGCTGCTGCTGTCCGACATCTACCAGTGGATCATGGACAACTACCCCTACTTCAAGAACAAGGTGAGGGCTGGGAGGTGGTGGGGGCGATTCCTGGGAATTTCCCCCGATTTCCCGATTTCGCTGTGGGGTGGGGACTGGGCTGGGGAAGCTGGCCCGGCTCTGCCGAGCCCGATCCGCCGGGAAATCCATTGGGGCTGGCCGGGCCGGGGTGTCCGAGCTCAGGGGTGTCCGAGCTCAGGGGTGTCCGGGCCGGGGTGTCCGAGCTCAGGGGTGTCCGGGCCGGGGTGTCCGAGCTCAGGGGGGTCCGAGCTCAGGGGTGTCCGAGCTCAGGGGTGTCTGGGGTTCAGGGCTGGCCGGGCTCGGGGCTGGCCGGGCTCGTTCCGGAGCCGGCTGGTGCTGCTGCCCCCGATCCCCCGGGAGAGCGCCCGTGCCGGCGGCCGGAGCCCGGGCAGGGAGTGGGGTGGGGCCGGGGGTCAGCCTGAGTGACCCCTCTGGACATGAGTGACCCCTGGGCCTGACTGAGTGACCCTTTTGGGTCTGAGTGACCCCTCTGGGCCTCAGTGACACCTGAGTGACCCCTCCAGGCCTGAGTGACCCCTCTGGACATGAGTGACCCTTTTGGGCCTGCCTGAGTGACCCCTGTGGGCCTGAGTGACCCCCGTGTGCCTGAGTGACCCCTCTGGCCGCAGGAGAAGAGCTGGCGCAACAGCGTCCGCCACAACCTGTCCCTTAACGAGTGCTTCGTCAAGGCCGGCCGCAGCGACAACGGCAAGGGCCACTTCTGGGCCATCCACCCCGCCAACCTGGAGGACTTCGCCAAGGGCGACTACCACCGGCGGCGGGCCCGGCGCCGCGTCCGCAGGTCGGGGGCTCCGGGGGGCTCCGGGGGCTCTGGGGGGCTCCGGGGGCTCTGAGGGGCTCTGAGGGGCTCAGGGCAGCTCTGGGGGGCTCCGGGGGGCTCTGGGGGTCTCTGGGTTTGTGTCTGGGCGCTGACCCCGGCTCTGCTTCCCCTCGCAGGGTGAACGTCGGCTACCTCCAGCCCTACGGCCTGTACGGCCTGGGCTGCTGCTGCCCCTGCTGCCCCCCGGGCCCCCCCGCGCCCCCCCTGGCCCTGCCCGGGGTCGCCCCCCGCTGCCCCCTGCCCGAGCGGCCGCGCTGGGGCTGGGGGCGGCTCCCGCTGCCCCGGGGCCCCTTCCTGTGACCCCAAATGGGGACAGCAGCTCCAGGTGTCCCTGCCACACACCCCGTGCGTGTCCCCAGTGTCCCCAGTGTCCCCAGGACTGGGCTCACTCCTGGGGTCCCCGTCCCGCGTCCCCCCCGTGCTGTCACCCCGCGATGGCACCCGCTGTCCCCCCACTGGGAGGGGACACCAGGGACCCCCACCCTTCGCCTTCACCACCTAACAGAGCTTTCCCATGGGGGGAAACTGAGGCACGGCCCGAATTTGGACTGATCCCCCCCCCAAACCGGGGGTCCCCCAGTCCCCCTCCCCACACACCCAGGCACATATGGGGCTTAAACCCTGCGGCGGCTGGCCCTGCCCTAATTATTCCTTCACTAATTGTCCCTGACGCCCCTAATGAAAATCGCGGCTCCCAGGTGTTAAGTGGCATTAGGGCGTCTCGCTAAGAAAGGCGGCTCGGCCATAAATCCCGGGATAAAGCCCCAAAGCCCCGAACAAGGCAGATTATGACACAAATTAATCCCCCCCCTCGGCCGTGCCCTCTGGGGGGGCCGCGCTGGCTCCTGTCCCGCGGCCACCTCGGGATTTGGGGCATTTTTGGGGCATTTTGGGGCATTTTTAGGGGGTTTTTGGGGTGTGGGGTCACCCGTGCCCTGCCCTGCCCAGGTTTGAGGTGGGCACATGGGGCTGGGGGGGGTTTGGGGAGGGGGGGGACACCCCAAACGTGTCCTTAAACCGCGGCCATCTGTCCCCAAACGCGATTAGGGTCCCCTGACCCCCCCTGAGCCCCCCCGAGCGGCTTAATGGGGCCGGGGGTGCTGGGGGGGCACTGGGCAGACTGGGGGGGGTGGGACCCCCCCCGAATTGGGACCCCCCCCTTTTGCTCTGATTCTGTAAGGGAGGGGGGGCTTTGTTCCCTTGGGGGAAACTGAGGCACGGCCACAGGTTGAGACAGAGCCCCCTCCCCGCAGCACCCCAAAATGGGGGGAACACCCCCCCAGAGATCCTCTGTGCAGTTCTGGAGCCCCCAAAATAGGGAAAATCCCCCCCCAAAAAAACCCTGCAGTCCTGGACCCCCCGAAATGGGGGAAATCCCCCCCAAAAAACCCCTGTGCAGTTCTGGAGCCCCCAAAATAGAGAAAAACTCCCCCAAAAAAACCCTACAGTCCTGGACTCCCCGAAATGGGGGAAATCCCCCCTAAAAATCCCCTGTGCAGTTCTGGACCCCCCGAAATGGGGGAAATCCCCTCTAAAAATCCCCAGTGCAGTTCTGGAGCCCCCAAAATAGGGAAAATCCCCCCCCAAAAAAACCCTGCAGTCCTGGACCCCCCGAAATGGGGGAAATCCCCTCTAAAAATCCCCAGTGCAGTTCTGGAGCCCCCAAAATAGGGAAAATCCCCCAAAACAACCCCCCCACAACCCTGGAAACCCCAAAAACAGGGGAACTCCCCCCAAAAATCCCCTATGCAGCCTGGACACCCCAAAACAGAGGAAATCTCCCCAAGGGGGTTTGGGGCTGGGGAGGCTCTGAAGGGTTGGGGGGCCCTAAAGGGGGGGATGAAGGAGAATTTTGGGGTGGGGAGGGGGACTCAGCCCTTTCCTGGTGAAAAACGAGCAATGAAACCCCTCCTGCTCAGTTTGGGGGGGCAGGAACCCCCGAGCCCCTTTTGGGGGAAAAAAACCCCAAATTTATCCCTCCCCAACCCAGCGGGGGGGGGACACCCCTCCCTTGGCACCCCCAGACCCCAAACCTGGATTAAACCCCCAAAACCCGGGCTGAGCCCCCCAAAATTGGGCTGAGCCCCCCCAAAACCCAGATTAAATCCCCAAAATTGGGCTGAGACCCTCAAAACCTGATTAAACCCCCAAAATTGGGCTGAGCCCCCCAAAACCTGAATTAACCCCCCAAAACCTGGGCTGAGCCCCCCCAAAACCCAGATCGACCCCCAAAATTGGGCTGAGCCCCCCCAAAACCCAGATTAAATCCCCAAAATTGGGCTGAGACCCTCAAAACCTGATTAAACCCCCAAAATTGGGCTGAGCCCCCCCCCAAAACCCAGATTAACGCCCCCAAAATTGGGCTGAGCCCCCCCCCAAAACCCAGATTAACGCCCCCAAAATTGGGCTGAGCCCCCCCCCAAAACCCAGATTAACGCCCCCAAAATTGGGCTGAGCCCCCCCCCAAAACCCAGATTAACGCCCCCAAAATTGGGCTGAGCCCCCCCAAAATTGCGCTGAGCCCCCCAAACCTGGATTAAACCCCCAAAATTGAGCTGAGCCCCCCTAAAACTGGATTAATTTCTTCAAAATTGGGCTGAGCCCCCCCCAAAACCCAGATTAACGCCCCCAAAATTGGGCTGAGCCCCCCAAACCTGGATTAACCCCCCAAACCCGGGCTGAGCCCCCAAGGGGAGGTGGATGGGGGGGAGGAAAGGGGGGGGACTCACAAATTTCTTCCTCTTTAAAATAAAAAATCCTTTTTTTTTTTTTTTCTCCCCTCCCTATTTCCCCTTGCCCCTGCTTGGCTTCGATCCAAATGTTATTATTTCATCATTTATTATTATTCTTCTTATTATTAATAATAAAATGTATTATTATTCCTCTCTCTCCCTCTCTCTCTTCCCACCATAACTCAGCACTTTCTTTGGCAACACTTTCATCCCAACCTGGATTCAAAAAAAGAGAAAAAATAAAAAGAAAACCAACTCAAATGAAATTAAAATGAATCAGAATAAAGACAAAAATGTCCATGCTGAGCTACGGGGGGGATTTTGGGGTGGGGGTTTAAGGCGACGGGACAGGGACAATCCTGGGGAGTTTGGAACTTTATTTTTTTTGCTTTTTCTTGATTTATTTTTAGTGCAAACTTCACCTTGTGCTAAAGTGTTGCCAGTGGGGGGGACAGGGGGGACACGGGGACATCGCTGGGGGAATCCTGAGTCTGCTCCTCTCTCCTCTTCCTCCTTTGTGCTCTTTTTCCTCTGCATTTTTTCCTTTTTTCCTTCTTTCTTTCCCTATTTTTCTCCCCTTGCCCCCCTCCCCAATTTATTCCTTCTTTTCTCATTTTCCCCCTTTTTTTCCTTCTTTCATTTCTCATTTCTCCTTCTTCCCCCCCTTTCTTTCCCTTATTTCCCCTCTTTTATTTCTCCCCTCCAATTTCCTTTTCTCCCCATTTTTTCCTTCTTTTTTTTTTTTTATCATTCCCCCTTTTTTTCCCCCACATTTTCCCCCCTTTCCTGCACACCTGGATGATCCCACCCTCTTCGCCCCCTCCCGGTGCTGCTTTCCCAAAACCCCCAAAATTCCTTTGGGATTGGGAAAAATTCCTTTGGGATTGGGGAAGGAAAAGCAGCAGCGAGGGTGGGAAAATCCCAAGGGAAAAAAATAAAACCAAAAACGGGACAAGAGGAGCCACCACCACCCCGAGCACAGCAGGGAACCTCCACGAGTCTCTCTTTCCAAATCCCCCCGGAATTTTCTTTGCATATTCCCAAAAAAGCTCAGCCAGCGCTGCCAGAGCCCCAAATTCCAGCTGGGATTTGGCCCCTTCCCGGTGGGGTTCACAGCCCAGACCCCAAATCCCTGCTCGGGGGGGATGTGAGGCACAGGGAGCTGGGATCCCCAATTTCCTGCCCAAGGGGGGATGGGGGGACACAAATCCCTGGGATTGGGGATCCCTCCGGATCCTTCCCGGGAAATCTCAGCCCTGGAGGGACCCCGAGCCCAGCCCAGGCTGGAGCTGGGACCCTGCCCAGACCCCAAATCCCTGCCCAGACCCCAAATTCCCAGCTCAGATCCCAATTTCTCTGCTCAAATCCCAATTTTCCAGCTCAAATCCCAATTTCCAAACCCAAATCCCAATTTCCTAATTCAAATCCCAATTTCCCTGTCCAGATCCCAAATTCCCAGGTCAAATCCCAATTTCCCAGCCCAGATCCCAAATTCCCTGCTTAAATCCCAATTTCCCAGCCCAGATCCCAATTTCCAAGCTCAAATCCCAATTTCCAAACTCAAATCCCAATTTCCCTATCCAGATCCCAATTTCCCAGCTCAAATCCCAATTTCCCTATCCAGATCCCAATTTCCCAGCTCAAATCCCAATTTCCCTATCCAGATCCCAATTTCCAAGCTCAAATCCCAATTCCCCTGCTCCAGGTGGGATTTTTCCAAATCCACAGGGATCCCAACACCTCTGTGCTGGCACTGGCTAAAAAAAAAACATCGAAAAAATAAAATTATTTCTACAAAAAAATAATTAAAAAAAAAAAACAACAACCCCAAACAAAGAAAGAACCTCCTCAAGGCTGTGGGGAGCAGCGAGCGAGCCACAACCCCCAGGATTCCTGCCTAAAATTCAAGCTTCCATGGGTTTTTTTTTCTATTTAAAATTCCCGAGGGTCAGGGCATGTCACAGAACCTAATTAGCATCTTCCTCCCATCCTCCAATCTCACTTGGATTCTGCCTCTATTTGTATTTTTTTCTAGGTTTTTTTGTTAAATATATATATATATATACACATTTTTTTTTCTTACAAAAATAAATTTAGGCTTTTTTTTAATAATATTTTTTTTCTCCGTAGAAGTCTTTTTTTTTAAAGTTTTTTTTTGACTTGTAAACATCTTGAATCTTGCTTTTTTTTAAATTAAGATAAAGTGAGCTCAAAGTACCCGTTCCATCGCAAAGTGCTAAGACTTCTTTGTTTTCTTTTTTTTTTTTATTATTATTTTTAAGCTTTTTTTTGGAATTTTTTATTGCTTTTTTTTGTTTTTCTGCATTAAATAAACATCCATCTCTTCCCCCAGCCCCACCACTCACCCCACCCCCCAGCACACACTCCCCTCTCACTCCCTCTCCAAAATACATTCGGCCAAAACCTGCTCTTTGCTTTTTTCTTTTGAAAGTAAAAACACCAAAAGAAAAAAAAAAAAAAAAAAAGGAAAAAAACCCAAAAAAACCAACAAAAAAATTAAAATAAAAGGAAGAGAATCTAAAAAGTGCTTTGAAAATAAAAGGGCTTAAAATCTCTCTGGTTTTTTACTATTTTTTTTTCTTTTTTTTTCTTTTTTTTTAGCATTTAAAAATGTGCATTTAGAAAACAGGTGACCAACTCAAAGGTGCCTTTTCCCCCCGAGGGTCGGGACCCGCCTCTCCAGCCATAGAGCATCTCTAGATATATATTTATATATTTTTTCTTTTCTTTTCTTTTTGGGAATGGGGCTGGGGGGCCGAGGCTGCTCCCCCTCCCAAAGGCCTCCTGCTCCTTTAGGGGAGACCCCAAAGAACTTTTCTGCCAAAGGGATTGGGAGGCGTTTTTGGGGCAGCGGGAGGGAAAAACTCCCTGGGGGGGTGGGGGGAAAAAATTCCCTGGGGGGGAGGGAAAGAAAAATTCCCTGGGGGGGGAGGGGGAGGATTTGGGACCCCCCAGCCCCAAATTCTGCCGGCAGCGGGGGCTGGGCTGACTCAGGCACTTCCTGGGCACCGCGGGGTGGGGACGGATGTGGGGACATGGGGAGGGACAGAGGGATGGACAGAGGGATGGACAGAGGGGTGGACACAGAATCCACGGCGCGGCTGAGCCACCCCTGCTGCCCCCACCTCGTGTCCCCACCTGGTGTCCCCAGCTCGTGTCCCCAGCCCCGGGTGCCCGACACAAACCCTGCCGAACCTGCTGCCCTCTCTCACATGATTTTTTTTTTTGTTTTTGTTTTGTTTTTTAGGCAATTTTTCCAGCAATTTCCAGCAATTTTTTTTCCCCACCCCGAGCCCTCGCTGCCCGACTGAGCCTCGCAGGGGGCTGGGGGGGACAGACCCCAAATCCTGACCCCCATCTCCTGGGAAGGAGCCCCCGGCCCCCAAATCCCACACCCCGCCCTGCCACAGCCCTTCCAACTCCTACCACTCCTTTTTTTTTTCTATTTTTTCCTTTTTTTTTTTTTTAAATAGATCTCTCTCTGAAATAAGTTTTTTTTTCTTTTCTTTTTTTTTTTTTAAACATGTGTTTGGACACAAAATAAAGCTTTGGATTTACATGGAAGCTCTTTTCCATGCGACAGAGCCACTTTCCATCCCCACCTGGTGCTTCCCTAGCGTCCTTGCCTTTCCAAGAAAAGGTCCTTGGCTATGAGGGATCCTCGGGGGAGAGCCCCGCTTACGATGGGAAGATTGGAAAACGTTAATATAATATCTCTCTTTTTTTTTTTTCTTTTTTTTGTCGCTTTTTTTTTTTTTCCTTAAAAAAAGGGAGAGAAACATCTTTTAAAGAGAAAAATCGGAGGAAAAGTACTAACTAGATTTTGTGACTTTGTTTTTCAGGTGGTTCTTTCATCGTTTCACCGGTCGGGGTTGCTTTGTTTGTTTTGTTTTTTTTGGTTTAGGAGAGTCCTTGCGCGTTACCCTCATCCGACCCTCCTGCTACATTCAATCCCGGCGCTTCGTTATTGGAATTCTCCTCAAAGTGCTGCTCCTGCTGCTGCTCCTCGCCGCCCTGCGCCGTGTCCTCGGGCTCGGCCGCGCCGCCGCCGTCCTCGGCGCTGCCCGTGGGCGTGGGGGGCATGGCGCCCGCCTCCCTGACCCGCGGCTTGCGGCCCCTCCGCGACGGGATCCCGTTGCATCCATCCTTTTTAAGGTGCCTGTGCAGGTGGTCGGAGCGCACGAAAGTCTTGCAGCAGCTGTCGCACTGGTACGGCCGCAGCCCCGTGTGCACCCGCATGTGGTTCTTCAAGTCGTAGTTGTGGGCGAAGGCGGCGCCGCACTGCTGGCACAGGTAGGGCTTCTCCCCCGTGTGCTTCCGCATGTGCACCTTCAGCTTGTCCTGCCTGCGGGACACAGGGGAGCGTCAGGGGGCTGGGGGGGGTGGGGCTGGGCAGCTCCTGGTGTGGGGCTGGGCACTGGCACAGGGATGAGAGTGGGGCTGGGCAGCTCCTGATGTGGGGCTGGGCACTGGCACAGGGCTGGGCAGCTCCTGGTGTGGGGCTGAGCATCACCCAGTGCAGGGTGTGTGGGTAGGGTCACACACTCTCACATATGGGGTCACACACTGCCTCATACAGAGGACTGAGCGTGGCAGTGGGGTCCCAGTTTGCCACATGTGGGGTCTGAGCAGGGTTGTGGGGTCACACAGTGCTCCATATGGGGTCTGAGCAGGGTTATGGGGTCACACAGTGCCCCATACAGGGTCTGAGCAGGGTTGTGGGGTCACACAGTGCTCCATATGGGGTCTGAGCAGGGTTATGGGGTCCCACATTGCCCCATACAGGGTCTGAGCAGGGTTGTGGGGTCCCACAGTGCCCCATACAGGGTCTGAGCAGGGTTATGGGGTCCCACATTGCCCCATATGGGGTCTGAGCAGGGTTATGGGGTCCCACATTGCCCCATACAGGGTCTGAGCAGGGTTGTGGGGTCCCACAGTGCCCCATACAGGGTCTGAGCAGGGTTATGGGATCACACATGGCCCCATACAGGGTCTGAGCAGGGTTATGGGGTCCCACATTGCCCCACATGGGGTCTGAGCAGGGTTGTGGGGTCACACAGTGCCCCATACAGGGTCTGAGCAGGGTTGTGGGGTCACACAGTGCCCCATACAGGGTCTGAGCAGGGTTGTGGGGTCCCACCCTGCCCAGCCCAGGGCTGAGCTCAGCTGTGGGGTCCCACGTGGCGTTTTGGGGCCGGGGTGCAGGCCGGGCCAGGGGCCAGCAGGGCCCCGTGAGCCGCAGCCAGCGCTGCTTCCTGCAGGCAAAGGCAGCCCCGAGCACGGGCCGGGCAGGGGAGCAGGGGAGCAGGGGAGCCCCTCCTGCCCTGCCCGACCCCTCCCGAGCACACCCACCCCATTCCTGCACGGATCACTCGGATCCCAGCCCTGAGCGTTCTCCCCATACCCACAGGATCCCAGAAATCCTAAAGCTCCAGGGAAGGATCAAAGCCCCAAGGTCGTGTCCAGCTCTGAGTGACACACAAAGTGCCTTGTGAAATTCATATCTGGCATTTTATAACCCCCTAATTCTCTCTCTCTTTTTTTTTTTTTTTAATCTGCTCCTCCCCCTGCGACCGCAGAGGAACCAGGAAACGCCAGGGAGCAAAAAATCCCTGAGCAGGGCTGGGCTGGAGAACACCGGGCTGGAACAGCCCTGCTGCTCCTCCTGCCACACCCCAAACCCCCTCCCTGAGCCCATCCCCACCCAGGCCAGCCCCCAGAACGGGGAAGGATCTGCTCCCAGCGTGGGACCTGCATGGGGAAGGGAAGAACAGGAACAGTGAAACTGGGGAATGCAGCTCAGGGCATGGGAACAGCGATGGCAAGGACAGCTCCCTGCCCCTGTCCAGGCTCCTCCAGCCCGGACCTGCTGGGGGAAGAAGCAGGAGGATGGATTTTAGCTGGAATCTGGTGGTTTAGAAAAGCAGCTCTTTTACAGGTGGCCTGGGAGCCAGCAGGAAGCAGGTCCTCATCCCAAGGAATGGGAGCAGGGTTCTCATCCCAAGGAATGGGAGCAGGTCCTCATCCCAAGGAATGGGAGCAGGATGGAAAAGGATGAGGTGGCACTGCCCCACCAACTCCCCCTCCCCAAAATCCCTGTGCTTCCCCTCATCTGGCAGTGCCAGCAGCTGCCGGGGACCCTGTGGCATGTCCAGGTCCTGCAGTGCCCTGGATGGTGCACAGGGGTGGGATCCCTGTGGGATCACTCTGGGATCCCTGTGGGATCGCTGCGGGATCACTCTGGGATCCCTGTGGGCTCCGTGTGGGATCCCTGTGGGATCGCTGCGGGATCGCTGTGGGATCACTCTGGGATCCCTGTGGGATCATTGTGGGATCCCTGTGGGATCCCTGCGGGATCAGCCCCGGCCCCCGGAGCAGGGAGGTGCCGCGTGGCAGGGCCGGGGGAGCGGGGAGGGAGGGCTGGCACCCTGCCCCTGCCATTATCTGCATTCCTCAGCTCTCCAACGTGGGCTGGGCGCGGCCCGGACCAGGGGAAGGGGCAGGACACGGCCTCCTGCCCCTCCGGCTGCACCCCTGTCCCAGGCAGCCCACACGGAGCCCACAGGGATCCCACTCAAATCCCACACGGAGCCCACAGGGATCCCACACGGAGCCCACAGGGATCCCAAATGGAGCAGCCCCACAGGATGGAACCCCCAAAGCATGAGGGGCCTGGAAGGGCCGGCCTGGGCTGTGGGAAGTGGCACAGGGGAAACATCTGGGCAGGCAGGGAAAGGGAAAAGGAGCAGGGAAAGGGAAGGGAAAAGGAACAGAGAGAAGGATAAGGTAAGGGAAAGGGAAGAGAGCAGGGAAAGGGAAGGGAAAATGAGCAGGGAAAGAGAAGGGAAAGGGAAGGGAGCAGGGAAAGGGAAAGAGAAAGGAAAAGGAGCAGGGCGAGGGAGGGGAGCAGCCCCCAGGCCCAGCACAGAGCAGGCAGGGAACAGGCAGGGAAAGGGAAAGGGAGCAGGGTAAGGAAAAGAAAGGGAAGAAGCAGGGAAAGGGAGCAGGGCAAGGGCGGGGAGCAGCCCCCAGGCCCGGGCAGCCCTCGCTGCCCCTCGGCAAGGCCGGGGATGCTCCAGGCTGGGACCCCCGGCCCGGCCCGGCCCTGGCAGTGCCCGGGGAGAGGAGGCGGCGCCCGGCCGCGGACTGGAGTGAACCGAGCAGCCCAAACAATATCCCCTTTCTTTGGTGCTGCCGTGGCCCAGCAAGGAGCAGACGAGCCCTGATTAGGGACAGGGCCATGGCAAACGCCCCCGGGGGCTGCACCGGGGCTGCAGAGCTCGCTCTGCCAAGGACACGAGTGGGCTCCAAGCTCCTTCCAAGCCAAGCACCGCCACCCCAGCCGTGCCACGGAGCCATGCCCAAAGGGTTCCCCTGCTCCTGCCTCGGCCACCGTGGACACACCAAGAGCTGCAGCTCTGTTTCCCCCTCATGTCAGGGCTCCAGCAGCACTCAGCAAGTCAGGACAGCAGGATGGTGGCACTGGCCACCGAGCCAGGCCCCTTGAGATAGCTCAAGTGTCACATCCCCAAACTGCTCCCTGGAAAAATCTGGCCTCCAGCCCCAACTTGCCAGTTAGGATGGAAATGAGAGATAAAATCACCCAGGAGCAGACCTATGCTGGCTCCCAGGGTGAGGGGTGGGCTGGGTTTGTGTGCAGATCCCAGGTTTGTGTGCAGCCCCAGGTCTGGTACAGCTCCAGGTTTGTGTGCAGCCCCCAGGTTTGGTACAGCCCCAGGTTTGTGCCCAGCCCCAGGTCTGTGCCCAGCCCCAGGTCTGTGCCCAGCCCCAGGTCTGTGCCCAGCCCGTACCTGGTGAATCGGACGTTGCAGATGTTGCACTCGTAGGGCTTCTCCCCGGTGTGGGTGCGGATGTGGCGCGGCAGCTTCCCGGCGCCCTGGATCACCTTCTCACAGATGGGGCACTTCTGGAATGCTTTCGCCCTGATCTTCTTCTCCACCTTCTGGGACCAGGACGGGTACACGTCGCCCTCGCTGGAACTGCCGAAATATTTCAAGTAATAATCCATGACCCCGTCCTCGTCCTTGCGGTCGTCGTCGCCGAGCTGCTGCCGCCCCACCGAGTTGATCATCTGCTGGAGCAGGGCGCTGGCGGCCAGGTCATCCACCTCCCTGGCATCGTCCTCCGTCTCCGTGCCCGTGGGCATGAAGCTGGGCGAGTCCCCGGCTTCCTGCGGGTCCAGAGGGCCCCTGGGGGTGCCCCCCTCCTCTTCTCCCGGGGTGGCCAAGCCACGGCTGCTGTAATGTCCGTTCTGGGAAGGGGAGAACATCCCGCCGCTGACCGGCTCCTCGTCCTCGCGGTCCAGCCACATGGCCGGGTTGCTGTCGGGGTCACAGTCACTTGCCTTTGGTCTTTCGGTTGGGGTGGCTTGCGAGTAGAAGTCCAGGCCATTGCAGTTCGACTCCTCCTCCTCCTCTTGGCCTCGGAAGTTCAGTCTCTGAAGGTCTCTCAACTCTGGGTTGGTCCACGGAAAGTTGCCTTGGTGGCCGTTCACGGGGTTGCTCTGGAAGAACTCCAGGTACTCTTTTGCTCTGAGATGGTTCCTCTGATCAATTTGATCTACTGTATCCATCTGGTCATTTTTGGCCAGAATCTTCCTCTCCAGGAGATCCGTGCAGACATCCCTGACGGCCGGGATCTCCAGCAGCGTGGCGGCGTTGAGGATGTCGTTGACGTTGGAAGTGCTGACGGTGAGGGTCGCGGTGTAGGCGAACTCCAGCAGCGCCGACAGGGCGTCCGCACTCACAAAGTCTATCTCATACACGTTCTGCTGGTCCACCACTAACCCTGAGGTGAAGAGCTTCTTGAAGTACTGGCTGCACGCTGCCAGGACGGAGCGGTGGGTGGGGAACTCCTGGCCTTCCACCAGGATGACCACGTCGCACAGCAGCCCGTTGTTCCTCTGCTCGTTCAGGCTGCTGAGGATGTCGCTGCTGTGATCCGGGAACGGGATCCCTATGGGGCCGTCCACGCCACCCGCCATCTTCCACGCTGAAGGCTGCGGGGAAGGAGGGGAAGGCCGTGAGTCAGAGCTCGGAGACATCGGGAGAATCCCCGAATTCCTGAGGGACGCGCCCGGCAGCGGCGCGCGTGTCCCCCGCGCCTCTCCCATCCTCCTGCCCGGCCTCTGCTTACCTGGGGAGGAGGAGGAGGAGGAGGAGGAACAGAGCCCAGGTGCTCTCGAGTGAGAACAGCTGAATTAGCGCGGATCCGGGCCAGAGCAGCAAGCCTTGGCAGGGAGCTGGCATCACCCAGCCAGGCAGCACCTGGAGCGGGCACAGCTGTGCCCAGCCTCCCCAGTGCCTCCCCGTCCACCTCTGGGAGCATCCCCCATTCCCATTCCTGCTGGGAAGGTCCCCAGCTCGCCAGGAGCAGCCAACACAGTGAGGTCATCCCCGGGAACACCACTGCCATCCCTCATCCCCGGGTGCCAGCACACCTGGGGAGATGTGGGCAGGGAAAATCCTCTGGGAAGGGCAGGGAAGGGGAGCCCCAGCCTCCCCAAGCTGCTGCTGCACATGTTTGACAGAGCAGAGCTGATCCCTGGAAGCTGAGGCAGCTCCTGCTCCTTCCTGGGAGCAGGAGAGAGGAAAAAGGACACTGGGATCACCAAGTGCCAGCACCAGACCCGGATCCTGGACAGGTTCCAGCAGAAGCAGCAGCTCTTCCCAGTGCCAAGGGTTTGTTTGGGACAAGATAAATAAATAAAGTCACTCCTGACACATCCACTTGACTCCAAAGGCTGGAAAAACCCAGCCTTTGCTGGGAAATGGACACTGGGGCCTGACTGCAAGCCTGAGCAGCCCCTAATTCTCCCACAATCCCAGTCTTCTGATCCCAAAAATTAGGATAACATTTCCCTCCTGTCCATCTCACGCAGCAAATCCACATGCTCCTTGAAGCAGAGATGCCTTTGCTGGAAAATCAATGTAATTCTCCCCCAAAGCACTGGGATCAGCAGAGCCAAGAAATCCACACACAAACCAGTCCAAAAATCACCCAGGCACAAGGCTGGGGTATCCAAGATCCTCATTTCCAGACGGGGAAACTGAGGCACAGCAGGACATGGGCTGTCCCACGCCATGGGGGGATGGATGAGTCAGGATGGATCCAGAACAGGAATAATTATTCAGGAAGCAACTCCCAGCCCCGGGTCCCAGCACAGAGCAGGAGCCCAGGTTGCACAACTCTGGCTTCCCCCACCCACCCCCGGCCTCCTCAGTAGTTTTCCATATTTACTTATTTTTGAAAAGTTTTGTTAAGCCCAGAAAATAAGTTTAACTTTGGCACCTCCCTGTTTTATAGAGAGAAAAGGCAGGAGAAGGCAGGTCTGAGGCTGGGGAAAAGGGATCTGGAGCAAATCCCTGGATCACCAACATCAGGAGCACACCAGCATTCAGCTCCCAGCAGGAACGAGATGGGGGTGAGGAGGAGGGAGGACCCAGGGGGGCTGGATGAGCAGGACAGGCACCAGTCCTGCCACCAAGACCAGACTTTGGGAAGCCAGGTGGCTTCCTGAGACACCCGGGATCAGCTCCAGAGCCACCTCCTGAGCTCCAGGGTTTGACCTTTAAACCCTCATTTCATGGGTTTTTTACATCAGGGAGGAAAGGGCTGCTTGGTGGCACTGCCCTGTACTCAGCCCCAGCTTCAGGTGTGACCTTGGGCAAGGTCACCCCATGCCAGCATCCCCAGGGAATCCTGAGCTGGGATTCCAGGGAGGCTTTGCTGCCTCAGCACCGCGTGTCCCATTCCCTCCAGGGCTCCCCAAAACCTGACTGGGGCCACCACACACAGGAAAGAAGATCCCACATCCCTGCCAGCCCCAAAACCAGCACTGCAGCTTCCCCCTCTCCTTCCTCTCTACCAGAGATGCTTTACAAGTTTTTTTCTCCCAAAACCAATGAATTGGAGCTGCATGCAGAGTTTGGAAGCTCCGGGCAGGGGTCCTGAGGGAGCTGCGTGTGTCCCCCACACCCCCAGCTCTGGGGAGCAGCCAGAGCACCCAGACAAGGTGACCCCCCCAGCCCGGGGGCCGGGACAATCCTCCCGACAGTGTGGGAATGGCTGCAGGGTCATGGGACTGCCGAGGGAGGCCTGGAGCCCGCTCCAACTCGGCCACCCCGCACACAACACGGCCTTTGTGCGCCACGGCCGCGTGGCCGAGGACAGCGGGGCCAAGGGAGCCCCCCAGGAGTGGATTCAGGGCCTGGGTGCTCCAGCCACATCCAGAGATTGAGTCCTTAAAGCATCACCTCCGTTCCCTTTCCAAAGGGATGGGCAGCTTAGGAATTGCCAACGGGAAATGGAGCGTTCCCAAGTCCGGATTTGGGGTTTCGGGAACTTCTTGAGTCTTCATAAGAAGTTCCAAGCACCCCAAATCCACTGCTTGCTCATGGCACCAGGGCTCAAGGCCACGGTGGAATGGGCAAAATCCACTTGGAATGTGCTGAAGCCAGGTGACAAGTGACAAAAGGCACTGGCACAAGCACAGCTCGTCCCTCCCTGGCAAGGAAAGGTCTGAACGGGCCACCAAGGGGGAGCTTGAATTTCCCATTCTCTCCCTGCCTGCCCACGAGTTCCAGGTCCCTGTCCCAAGGGCTCAGAGGTGCCACATTTCACCCCAAAAGTGGCTGTGGGCGAGAGGTTTGGGAATGGGCCTCGCAGACAACTGAGAGGGAACCACGGAGGTGAAATACAGCCCGTGAGGAAGAGGAGTTGGAGCAACAGCAGAACCTCCAGGTGATTTAGGAGCATTATTGACAGCCCTGGTGGGACACCCTGTGCAGCCCCAACCCCGCTCTCGGCCCCCTCAACGCTTCCAAAATCCCAACACAACGGAGCTGTGGCTATTCCAGCTCCACAGGCCAGCCCGCACACACAGGCAGGAAAAATGTCATTTCTTGGGTGGTGAACGGGGTGAGGGAAGTTCTCCACCTCCCTGAGCTGATGTTCCACACCCAGCTGATTCCCCATCGCCTTTGGATGCTGCTCCTCCACGCTGAAATGGAATTGCTGAGGTTGGAAAAGCCTCCAGTCCCAGCCGTGCCCAATGCCCGCCTTGTCCCCAGCCCAGTGCCACCTCCAGCCTGTCCTTGGACACCTCCAGGGATGGGACTCCCTGGGCAGCCCCTGCCAATGTTTAATCATTCTTTCCATGCAGAAATTGTCCCAATATCCAACCTGAACCCGCCCTGGTGCGACTCAAGGCTGTTCCCTCCTGTCCTGTCCTGCTGTCCCCTGGGAGCAGAACCTGACCCCTCCTGGCTGCCCCCCAGCCAGGGAACTGTGCAGAGCCAGAAGGTCACTCCTGAGCCTCCTCAGCTCCCTCAGAGGTTTTCCAGACTCTTCCCAGCTCCATTCCCTTCTCTGGGCTCACTCCAGCCCCTGTGTCCTTCTCCCAGTGAGGGGCCAGACCAGGACACAGCACCCGAGCTCTGACCTCAGCACTGTGATTTTATTTTCTTTTTTTAAACTCAATTTCTCACCTCTCTCCTCCCAGACCCCAGCAGCACCCAGAGCTCACGGGAACCCCTGAGCTTGTGCTTCCCTCAGCAGGATGTCACCCAATCCCTCTCCTCCAGGAGCTCTGGAATTTGACATTTACATTCAAATGAGACGACCACATCAAGATGGGATCCCAACCAAAAGTGCTGACAAAACATCTCTTTAATTACCAGTTTTCCACAGAACCTCAGTGGGTTTTTTTTTCCTTTTCCCTTCACTTCTTTGCCTTAAAATTTAGACGAAGCTGAGCAGTTTGGGAGGGCTCAGGAATACACAGGTGGAAGAGCTTGGTCACCCCTGAGGAACAGGGAACAGCCAATGCTCTCTACGTGCTCTAATCCGGAAAAGATCCCAAAACCTTTCCAAAGGCAGGGGTGCCGCCCTCTGCAGCAGCTCAGGTGAGAACTTGAGCAACACCTGGCACCTGCTCGGGGCAGGAAGGGAGAATCAGCATCACCCTTCCCATGGAGCACGAGGCAAAGTGGCTGCAGGGAATTCTGTGATCCACAGAGCAACATTTCCTGGGAAGAGCTGAGCCTGTGGATGTTGAGCCTGCAGGATGGACAGGGACTTTGGGCACGAGGATGGAGTGACAGGGAGGAGGGAATGGATTCAAACTGGCAGGGCAGGGTGAGATGGGATATTGGGAAGGAATTCCCAGAGCAGCTGTGGCTGCCCCTGGATCCCTGGAAGTGTCCAAGACCAGGCTGGAGCAGCCTGGGATCCTGGAGGATGGCCCTGCCCATGGCAGGAATATTTAAGGTCCATCCAACCCAAACCATTCTGGAATTTGGGATACTCAGCCTCTTGCTCAAGGTGCCCAAGGATCCCAAGCTGCTCTGGGATTTCTTGGAGCAAACACAACCAAGGCAAGGCACCAGGGTGGAATTATTAAAATAATGGTGCTTTACACAAAAAAAAACACCCCAGGGGCTGCTGCCCAAGGCCCAGACAGGATCCCAGCACTCCCCATCACCAGCTGCAGAAAGAGGCACTTTCCCCTCACACCCCTGCTCACAGTTAGGGACAGACATCCCCGTGGCCCTGTCCCAGCTGCAGGACAGCTCTTCCAGCTCACAGTTAGGGACAGACATCCCCGTGGCCCTGTCCCAGCTGCAGGACAGCTCTTCCAGCTCACAGTTAGGGACAGACATCCCCGTGGCCCTGTCCCAGCTGCAGGACAGCTCTTCCAGCTCACATTTAGGGACAGACATCCCCATGGCCCTGTCCCTGTCCCAGCTGCAGGACAGCTCTTCCAGCTCACATTTAGGGACAGACATCCCCGTGGCCCTGTCCCTGTCCCAGCTGCAGGACAGCTCTTCCAGCTCACAGTTAGGGACAGACATCCCCGTGGCCCTGTCCCAGCTGCAGGACAGCTCTGCCAGCCTGGCTGCAGGCAGCTCCCTGGCCAGGGGAGCAGCAGGCAGTGCTTGTGCTGACAGAGCCCAGGACAGGCCCCAGCAGGTCTCCCTCTGCCCAGGATCCACCCGAAACTGCGCCAGGGCCTCAGGACACACACCTTGCACGGGGAGCACGGCAGGCAGCGGGGAGGAAGGAGCTGCTCTGCCTGCCTGGGAGAAGTCACAGCTCCAAACACCCCACTGAGCCATGGAAACTCAACTGCTCCCAACACGGAAATGGGCTGTCAGGGCTTTAGGGCCAAGCCATCCCAGTTATTTGGACATGGAGAACCAGCTGGATGTTCCTGAGAGGAAGGCCCTGAACATCAACAGAAGGAATTGCACTGTGGGAAAAATCAAGATTAAAAAAAACCCTCAGTCTGCTTTTAT